CTTCCCACTTGCTCAGTCCAGCATTTGAGTGTAATTATACTCGTGCTTTGCTTATCAGAACATAACATCTACCTGTTTTAGTAAGGGCAACACAGGACATCTGCTTGGCCTCCCATTTACTGGTCTTGTCTTAGATATATTTTTATTATGATAAAATAGTACTCATGTCAAAATGCCTAAGTGTCATAGTAATAAATATATAATAAATACTTACATCTAGACTGAACCTTGATATATATAAGATCTCATTATTTATGTGTTTTTTTGCTAAAGTGCTGGCTGATATCCAGTCTTAGGAATGCACAAGATATTTATCACAGAGAAGGAAGGAAGGAAGAGAAATAGGAAAGATGAAAAGAAATATAATAAGGACAAGATAACCAAGAAAGGTAACTAAATAAGTCTCAAGTCTTATTCCTCAAAGATTTCAATTTCTTTCCTCATGTTCCCTATCCTAATACTTAACACATTGTATTACTGTTTACTTGAATATTTCTTGCCCCCTTTGCCCATATTATTAGCTCCATGAAGACACTAAATGTTGTTTTCTTAGTGCCTGTAACAGTGTCTGCACAAATAAGAAGTCAATAATGATTTGTTGAATGGGATACATGCACAGATTAATATTCAGTCCAATACATACTAAACAATTTTCTTAAAATTTCTGCTTGTATAGATTTGTTGAAATGAATACAAAAAACATAGATATTAGAAGGGGTATTAAAATTTAATTAAAATACAAATTGTTAGGTATGAATCAATGCTGTTCTATCAACACTATAACAGAGAAATAATTCACAGAATAATGTTGTCATGGGGATGGGTCTGGGGCAAGATCTATGTCAAATTATCTCACAGCAAAAATGCTTGAAGATATGTTTGGAAATTTCTGTATCTCATTCAGAGTGGTGTGACTAGACATTTGCCCTTGTATTTTTCAGGCAGTGGTTAGAAGACTCCTCTAAAGTCATCAATATGTCCAAGTAACTGTGATGTGTTTTGTTTTCATCAATCACAGTTTTATTTTGCCAGAAGAAAAAGACAAAAAAAACCCCAAAAACCTGTGGTACTCTTTCAACTTGAAATGGGCTTAGAAGAAAATTACCAATATACTATTATTTTTTGTTTGCTCTTTTGGACTTTGGGGAAGATTCAATTTTAGAAATGCTTTTTTTTCCTCCTCCAACAAGAAAAACAAAATATACTGGCAAAAGCAACAGACTTCTTTTGATGCTAGTATAAAGAAACTCTTGAGTTTTTGAAAAGGCTTACAAAAATGTAAGTCATCATCACACAAACGTACCACATAGTTGCAACAGAAATTGTTTAATGCATTTCTGAACTTTTTAAGCATCTCAAAAAAACAAAAGAACAAATGTTATAAGCCATGATTAAACTTCTCAAAACACTTCAGTTAAAATAGAATATTTTCATGAGCAGAGATTAATCATTCTGACAGGGTTTCCTCTCTAGCCCAGCACTCTCCTTTCTAACTTTCCTTGTTATTTACTGGCAGATATAACAATAAAAATACTATATAAACCCATTCCAGGGATATTTCTTCTACGCCCTTCAGTGCTTACACCATAATTGTAAAAGGCAAATAACCTTAGGACACACAAATGTCCCATGTAAATGTCATTTAAGTACAAGGCAATAATAGGTAGGTAAATTATTTGATATGATTAATAATGTTTACATTGTATAGTTATACTGAACATAAATGGCCGCTTTTAGAAATACATTAAAATAGCAAAATATAAGTTCTTCAAAATTTAAGGGCCGACCCTGTGGCACACTCGGGAGAGTGCGGTGCTGGGAGTGCAGCAGGACACTCTGCAGCGGGTTCGGATCCTATATAGCGATGGCCGGTGCGGTGCGCTCACTTGGCACCAAGCCAAGGGTTGCGATCCCCTTTCCAGTCACACACACACACACACACACAAAAAAAATCAGTCAAAATTTAATAAGTCAATCATCGTACCAACTTTGCTACTAAAAGTATATGATTGTTTCTAATTCTTTCAAACGTATCATTACAAATTTCATAGCAGGAAGACCAATTATATTTAATCTGCTGTAGGTTTAGAGACAAACCTACTAATTTTTTGTTTGTTCCTCCTCCATTTCTTGCTTCCCTAAATTCCTTGAAAAAGAACCGTAGAAAAAGTTAACGGAATAAAAGGAAAAGACTTTTTAAAATATGTCATTTGCATACCTATATGTTTTTAGGGGCCTCTATGTCCTACTATAATAAGCATCTCAAGAGTAAGGACTATGTTTTCATGATGTCACCTAGTTGGCTCCAGTTTGAATGGATTTAATAAAGGTTTGTACATGGTAAAGGGGAAAAAATAACCCTACTATAATAAGCATCTCAAGAGTAAGGACTATGTTTTCATGATGTCACCTAGTTGGCTCTAGTTTGAATGGATTTAATAAAGGTTTGTACATGGTAAAGGGGAAAAAATAACATAAATTTTCTGTGGTTATTACTTACTAATGGGTATTCTAAGTGGTTAGATAGAATACACATAAATACATTATGCATAAATGTGTCAGCTGTTGGCATCTAAGTTGCGGCCATTATCCAGTGTGAAATAAACATTCCCATCACCTCACGGAGAAGGGTGAACAGTAGCTATTCACTTATCAATGGTTCTAATGTGAATACTTCAGAATAGGACATAGGTTCAATATTTTCTTAAATAAGATTCTTCTCTGTTCCCTCAGACAATTGAGGGCAGGTAAAATATTTTCAAAATCTGGAGATTACCCAGTGTGTATGCCAACTTGATTAAACATATGGAATACATACTTGGAGAAAAGCCAACTGGCGACCTGCTTGAGTAATCTAAACACCCAAACTGAGAGGGGTTAACATACAAAGATCAGCTTTGTACTTTGAAGTTTTCTGGTCTTCATTTTGCGTAATTAAGACAAGATTTAATAATCAAACCACTGTACAAACATGTACCTAAAAGTATAGGTTTGTTTCTAATTTTGGGAAGAATTCTTAACAGATTCCAAGGAATCAGCTCCACATGTGAAAAGGTCTCTGATAAGATTTGCTTTTCTCGTTGCTAAAATGCAAATACTTGCTTTTCATCTTAGTTTTATCCATGTGACTGGGGTTAGCATCTGCCTGTCAAAATCTCTAGTGTGGTAATAAAAGAGAAAGATTCTGATATTAGCATACCATCTGAATCTGAAACAGTCGCAACTCTAGGCCATAAAAAGCTGTATTCCAAAATATCTTAAAGGTATTCATAGAAATCATTTGTAGACCACAATTTCAAAGGGATCAATTTACCTAATTTGCCCACAGCTAAATATACGTATCCACATATTTCTAAGAAATAGAACCAACAGTGGCAGGAAACTATATCTATAATCCAATACTAATTTTATAAACCAACCTAATTACATATCAAAATAGTATGAAGCCAAATGTTGGATTCCTAATCTTCCCTCCCACATAAATTTCTCACACTGGACGCTGGACAATTTTTCATGAACACCTAGTAATTTTAAGTTGTGCTGAGAGACCACAAAGCAAATAAACAAACCTAACTCTACCATAATACAACAAACATGCAGAGGCACATCAAGTCAATGAGCATCATGCCATTAGGCAAAGAAGGAAGTTGGTTCTCTCCCAACATGATTGATTTGCTACAAAATAGTTTTATACGAAATAATTTGATAAATTTAGAGAAATTCTGTAGCAGTAAAATAGGCATTAATCTGATGATATAGTAAGAATCTGCAATGTCTAGTGAAAGAAGGTTGAAGAGACAATTGCCACTGCCAGCCACCCCCATCCCTCAACACCCTAATCCTACACATAATGAATCATTCTTGAGAGCAGCAAAGGGCTAGCCTGGAAGAATTTCTGTTCAGTAATGTGGTCTTCAGCCCATGCACCATTCATGGCTCTGCCCTTGGTGAGATGGAAGCCAAAAAGTAGGGAAAAACTCCAGCAACAGTTGCAATAATGCCCCTTCTCTTACTGCCAACAGAAAGATGATTAGACCTTTGCCCATGAGGGTTTATTTTGTTTTGTTTTACAACACAATACAATAAGGTATTTGGCATGAAGCCAAGATCTAGCTACCCATTTATCAGTAAACAGAGTATCATTTCTCAACGTAATACATTTTACACCTCCATAATATACTTCTAGGTGATATAGTAAAAAGGTGAGGGAAGAGAATCTGAATACTCAGGATCTTAATATTTTCCAGAAATTTTACAGGAATGAGAAAATTCAGCTTTTGTAAGCTTACCACAGCAGAGAGTACTGGCAAAACTGTACAGACCAGGTTCCTTAGTATCATTTTGCTTATGAATTCATAGAAAATGCTTTGCTGGCCTGTCTGATACCATTATACTGCAATCCCTGTTTCTTTGCGGTTGCCTCAGCAGGAGAGGTCCTAACAAAGTGGTATGATACAGACATCCACTGTCCATTTCTGCCACAATAGGGCTGCCAGAAAAGAAATTATCACAAATTTCTGAGAAACTGCTTCAAACGCTTTTTGGAATGAAGTGGGGTATACTAAAAAATAAATGTAACATAGATGTGCACAAGTTGCTGAGAAATACCTTATTGGCTACCTTGTCCTACCTGTCATCACCTGTATAAACTTTTTGACATGTCAAACCCCCACATTCAATTCTGCCTCAAGCCTTTATTACACCAAAAACCAGGGCTCCATGCACATTTGTCTGTACGTGCTTATGTATTAAAACAGGTACTCAGTCAAATGACCTTGCTAATGTATAAACTCAATTTTGCTATAAACATCCATGCATGTATTGATGGTGAATACACTGATAATGTGATGGTGTCCTTGAGCCCAGGTAGCATGGCTTGGATGGTAATCTTTTTGCTGTGACTGATACCAATATTCTCCCCTTATATGCCCATATCAGTGAAGAGATCCCCAATTTCCAAACCGGGGGTTTTGATACTCTGACATGGCTTGGAGGCTTACTTTGTTCATGTGGATCTGCTGCTGGTATTGCTTCTGCTTCTCCAAGAACTGCTGGTGTTGCTGCTGGATGACCAGCTGAGCCAATGTGCTCTGAGGCAGAGGTGCAGACTGGGTTCGATTCAGGGGTCTGTGACGGGGCAATTTGTGGGTACCTCTAATGCCAGGTGAAATTCTCTCTTTTGTCGCCAAGGGAGACTGAGGATGTAATGGCACTCCACCTGAAAAAAAATACATGTGAGTGTGTGCGTGCATGTGCCCCAACATACTTCAAGAAGTTCATGGAAGAACAGAATTGAAAAGTACTATGGATATTTCCATAAACTTTTTAAAGTACCAAGTATATATACAAGGACACACACACGCGCAAGTACTATGGATATTTCCATAAACTTTTTAAAGTACCAAGTATATATACAAGGACACACACCCGCGTGCGCGCACACACACGCGTATAATTTTAAGAAAAAGCAAGAAACCAAAGAAAATAAATATATGGGATAAATTATATGAAAAGTAGTGATAACCATGCAAACATCAAAAGAAAGCCAGGTTGGGTTCAGGAAGATAGAAATGCCAAAGCATTGGACAGGTATGCATCTGACCATATGACCCACCAGGAGTTCAAGCTGGTACACATAAAGGTAAAATCAGGTAAGTTTCTCCCACACCACCTCCCCCCACTCTCCCCATCACGAATCTGGAGGAATAAATAAGGATAGTAGCCTTTGTCACAGTACCAGGTGTCAGGGAGACCCTGGTACAGCACTATAAATCTTTATTAAGGTCTTGAGTTAAAGAGACATTACAGTGGATTACTGCTACAATAAAAGTCCTAAAATGACCCGTAAATGGTGCCATTATTAATTACCAGCCACAAGAAGTTTTTGCTGTCGCATTTGTTCTTTCAGTAATAAATGCTGCAGGAGAGCTTGGTGGCTGCTGTTGGGCTTTCCCTCTAACGTGACATGGGGATGGCTTGAAGACGCTGGGAAGCTGCCCCCATACTGCCCAGGCAGAGGAACACCTTGCCTGAGTGTCTGGGTCTCACACTTCTGCTTTTCTTTCAGTGTATTTGAAGCCTGTGTCAAGAAATAAAACAGATGTTAATCCTCTTTCACCCATGTGGTCATAAGGTCTCTCCATCATTAGATGAGTTTCTTATGCCATAATTTCCCAAAACAAAAACCCATCTCACTTAGTGGCTGAGTCGGGAAAATGGATAATGGAATGTCTTTTAAATTAACAAAGGAGAAATAAATATAAGGTTGAAGTACTGGAGAGAATTTATATTGGGTATCATTGCACTACAACTAAAACGGTTTTTTAAAAAAATATTAAAGATGATGCTAGATACAAAATTGCAGTTAGACAAGAATAAGTTCAAGAGGTCTATTGTATAACCTGGTAACTAGAGTTAGCAGCAATATATCGTATGCTTGAACATTGCTCAGAGAGTAGATTTTAAGTGTTCTTAACACAAAAAAATGACAAGTACGTGAGGTAATGCATATGTTAAATAACTTGATTTAGCCATTCCACAATGTATACATATATCAAAGTATCATGTTGTATTCCATAAATATATATAATTTTTATGTGTCAGTTAAAAAAACAAACAAAAAAATGATGCTAATTTCAGGCTTAATAAGTGAGAAGTTTATTTCTAAAATATTTTAAAATACACTGCTTAAGTAAAAGGTATATTGGAAACGTAAAATTCACTAAAATAATTAAACTAAAAACCATAGGGCCGGCCCGGTGGCGCACTGCTACAGTGCGCCGCTTGGGAAGCGCGGCAGCACTCCCGCCGCGGGCTTGGATCCCACATGCAGACCGGCTGCTCACTGGCTGAGCGAGGAGCGGGGGCAACGCCGAGGGTTGCGATCCCGTTGCCGGTCCCGGTCCGGTGCGGGCGCGACACTGAGGGTTGTGATCCATTGCCGGTCACGAAAAAAGACAAAAAGACAAAAAAAAACAAAAACAAAACTATATCATAGGGATTAAGAAGCTAGAGATAAAATGATTTGCAATTTTGGAGTTTCAAACAAAAGAAACAATTAACCTTTTCTCAACATGACCTCTAATAAGTTCACGGAGCTGTTTCCAATATTTAATTTTTTAAATGAAATTCTTAAAGTAACTCAATAAAAGGAGGTATAAAATATGCAAGAATTTGATTTAAACATGTATTTTTATATTAATTCATAACAGATCCCCAAGTCTCTAAATATTGAAAATGACACTTCAGATACTTTTGTATAATAAAGTAAACTATAAGTGAAATCAGATATTAAGTAAAATTGTCATTAAGAACTTGAAATGTATGATAATGCAGTAATAAGGCAATAATAATTATATCATCAATAGCAATAATGAATTATACTTTTCAAAGAATTTAATGAATGGTGGTCATTTTGGTATTATAAAAGCAGCCTCAAAATTATGTGGCATGTTTCTTTTCAAAACTCATGTTTCATCTTTCAAAATTGCTGTGCGTCAGGGAAGCAAAGCAATTTTCAGTGATGGAGAAATTGAAGGACAAAGAGGTAAATGGTTTGTCTGAGTCACAGAGCAAGTCAATGCAATGTTTAATCTAGAAGTGATTCCTTGTCCTGGTCTCTTTTTCTTAAACTTTCCCACTATTCAGAGGGGAAATGGAATATTAGAGATCTCTTTCCAAAGCCATGCTCAGCTTGAAAAATTAATTGTGATGGCCTCATCCACACCAAAATGGAAGCAAAGAAAAATGAAACTTTAATCCAAACCACATTGGTTTATTCATCCAATGGTACCAAATTGTATTACCATTGAAACATTAAATGGTCTGGCTTTAGCTCTTGGTCCTTTGGGAAAAAATTTTCCCTGACCACATTAAAAGGGGTGCATGTGTGAGTTAGTAAGGAATAACTTAGAACATGCAAAAAGTAATGGAAATAAAATGCCTGTCCATGTGTCCCAGAAGTTTTGGGGTTAGTATTTACTTATCAGCAGAGACAGAAAAAAATAGGAATAGGAGAAAAATAATTTTTAATAAGTGAAGACTGAATTTATTACCCATTAACATTTATTTTTGGTTTTGTTCTTAATTCCTTTTTTCTTTTTGCTAGAATCAATTATTTACCAATGCTTCCTGTGGAATTTGAAGGGTGCAACCGAATTCAGGATTTTCAAGTCTTTCTTTGTCAATCTCCAGATATAAAACAATATCCAAATTGTGCTTTCTCCTTGCTGATGTAAGATCACAGTATCACATAAGATAACATTACACTCTTAAAAAATACCAGATAATAAAATATCTCGTAGACTGATTTTACGATATGCATTAAACATACATGTGAATCTGACACGCTAGACTCAGTGGAAGTCTTGATGCTAAAGACTGGCAAAATTAGGGACAAAGGTTGGAACAAATTTCTCTTTAAACCTAACATATCACACAACCTCTGTATATGTACAACTTAATTTACTAACATTTCAGAGAGGAATTATTCTGCATAAGGCTCACAAATATTTTACAACTAAAATTTATAAAATTTTAGGGAATGTGCATAAAATAATTGTTGCTATCTTTTCCTAGTAGGACAATTATCTCTAAACGATCCTATTTCAGTTGTCAGGACTTTTAAACTAATTGATTACCTTTGAGTCTCCTGGTAATAGTTTAATATTGTTCTTGGAGAGTTTTTCCAGATATGTACTCTTCAATACCACAGTGTCAGCAACTTAAATTCTCCAAATAAAGTCATTCACAAAATAAATTCTATAAACATATGCTGCTGTGCCTTAGAAGTGATATCTCTCAGCACTGGCCTGGGTTGTGATCTAGGTCTCTTAATCTTACTTAGGTTTTTAAACTCTCCAAGTCTCTGCTTCTTCTACTGTAAAACTGTGGACTGTAATCTCTGTTTCATGGGATGGTTGTGTGGAGCTACTAAAATAAAATACTTAGATAGTGTATTTTTTAAAGCTATAAACCATCATATAAATGTTAGTTATTATTTTTATATATGACTACGTAAACCAGTATAATTCTATGATTTAAAATCAAACTATGAAAATATCACTAGGGCTGGTTTAGGATGACGCTGTGCAATGACTTACATTGAGCTGGGATGTCACTGCTGGAAGTCCTAAGGTAATGTTGGGCAAAGAAGGAGAGGTATAAAGACTTAGCAGGTTCATGGAATCTTCATGAATTAGAATGCGTTGCTGTGAAACCATTTGCTGTTTAAAAAAAAAAGTCTCAAAGTATCACAATATCACAAATTTTACAGGAAAATATTCACATATCAGAAAATAGGTTTTATATTATCTTAATTAAGAAAAATATTCAGGTATTTATTTTATGACTTCTGTATCCAAGACTTATAATGCAAAAATTCAATAAAATTCTTCTTCATCATAGTTATAAAACCTGAAGAAAGGGCTTCTATGTTAATTTTGCAAAATTAATTTATAAAATTCTGGTTTTATGGAATATGATCAGAATGTTTGTCGTCTACTGGTAAAGTACAACAATCAAATTTAGCAATCTTGATGAATATATATATACTTTTTTGTATTACTGAGTGAAAAAAATACATATATGATGCCGCCATAGTCATTATCTTCATGTGAATTCAATGCCATTTTACTGGTGGGAAACTCATATAAGAAAACCTTAGATTGAATATCACTACATAAGGCTTACGTAGTAATCATATCTTTTTTAATATAAAAATCTATTTATAGACAACTCTGGGGTGTTTTTTTAGATCATTCATATTCAGAAACCAAAGAAAATGTTCAAACGTTATGAGTTCCCTGCACCACAATAGCCTTCATTTACACTGTGGTATCCTGAACATTTTGGCATCACAGTGCTTTTTACAACAAATACCTTTTTAAAATCTAATACTAAGAGTCATGTTTTCCCACATGTGGCCTAATATGGTTGCTTGAATTACATTTTCTGTTTAACTCTTGCTTCCCTCCCAGAACATTTATACAATAAGAGTTACAAAGGTCTTATTAGACTAAGGAACTCTGGCCTGATATGGTCCCCAAGGGAACAACATCCCTGAAAAAGAATACTCCATGTAACAGTATGACACAGTGACTGCTTTCTTCCCAAACAAAAAGCATATGGGACTCCAATAATAGACCACCTCCAAGAGGGATATTGCACACACGGGCTTTGACTAAAGTAAATATAATAACTTGTCAAGCATGTTTGGGGGAGCTGTAGATTTTCCCCCGGACAAACCTGGGATATCAATTAACTGGGGAAAATATCATGTGCTAATACAATGCAACCTCTGAATGTCACTGAAGAGTGATGCGCCACCAAAACACAGGATGTTATTCCAAAACATCATTTCAATCATACGTTTGTTTGGAGATGAGTCCTAGCCCTAACAGAATAAGAGCAAAAGGTTAAATGTGGAGTTTTCTCATTGCAACTTGGAATTCCAAGCTAACTCAGAGTTTGTTTCTTCTTGAGAGAACAAGTCAGATATTTGTGCATGAAAATCAAGAGTTATATTGAAACCATGAACATTGCATTGACTTTATATGCAACCTTCTACAAAATTAAAGTTGTCTAAAATGCCATAGCATAAAGATGGTTGAAAAAGATTTTTAAATTACAATCTGTGAAATTGCCAATTTTTTTAGGCGCTATCAGCAATAGTTGCATATTCGCTCTAAATAAAAAGGCAAGCTACAATTTTCCTTACATAAATATACTTCTAACACAAATGCTAAGTGTAGAATATATACCTGAACAAGAACAAATAGAACATATAAGTAAGTAAAAATACTTGAGGCTAGCTTAGTAGCAGGAAATAGTAATTTAAAATAAAAAGCTATTTCATTCACTTATTTGTATTCATGAAAGAGAAAATAAATTGTGGAAAAATACGCACTTTAAATAATGTATAATATTCTTTGAATCTGTTTCTAACAGCACTGAGATTTCACACGGACTATGGGAATAACAGCACAGACCTCACAAAGGAGGTTATCTTTGTCTCCCAGAGAGAATTTCTGTAACACACTCCCACCTCATCACAGGAAGCAGACTTACACTAAAATGAGAAATAGATTTTTTTTCTCACATGTAATAGGGGCAGCAGGACACTGGCTGTTCACACCAGCTTTGACTAAAGTGAAGGGATTTGGGGATATTCTTACTCTGGGACTGCAGACCCCTGCAGTTGCATGTAAAAATTGAGTGGCTCCATTTCCTGTGACATATTTCATATGGTACATTGATTTTCAGCTTCTACCATGTGCCAAGCCTTGTGCCAGGGAGTATCTGAAGGCTCACCTATTCTTCTACATTCTCTCAAACTACCATTATGCTCATGCTACAGATGACAAAACTGAGAGAATTCCCCAATTCTGCTTCCCCGTGGGATCAGCAATGAAGCTTTTAACCTGACCAAGGCTATATGATTTGTTGTCAGGCGCTGCTGCAGAAAGTACACACCACTGAGCAGCCACTGTTGGAGGACGGGCAACAATAAAGAAGTAAGGAGAACGGCTGCAGCATTAGAGAAGAAGAGGAAACAAACTCAGGTCCTAAGGTCTATGGAAAGGAATAAAGGAGCCAGCTGACCTGGGCATGAGGGACAGCCCTGGTGGCTTTATATACATTGAGGATCTTCAAGTCATGGGAACAATTCCAGAGGAAGCAAGGGAAATTCTGTATCCTTCCTAAGGTCTATGGAAAGGAATAAAGGAGCCAGCTGACCTGGGCATGAGGGACAGCCCTGGTGTCTTTATATACATTGAGGATCTTCAAGTCATGGGAACAATTCCAGAGGAAGCAAGGGAAGTTCTGTATCCTTTCTATCTGCTGGGTATAGTTGGTTCTTGTCACAGAGACTAACTGGTATAATATCATGTCATAGAAACTTCAGGACCCATTGCTTAGCTTACCTTTTTGGATTACGGATAAGGGAACAGGCACGGAGTTTATGTAGACTCTCAATGTCTAGAATCACAGATGACTTAGAACTGAAAAATCACTTTCCTCAAATTATTTTCTTCAAATGCAGCTTTCCTCATTAAGGCTCTTTGATAGAAGCAGGCTATGTGTTCCAGGTTAATGATTCTTAATAAAACCCGGAGCCCTATTTTACACTGCTAAGTACTGACACACTTGAAAGCCAGACCAACAAGTTATAAGGAGTACTACTCCACCAAGACAATGAAGGATCCTGACCAGTATTCAAGCAAGGCTGGAAGGCCACCCAACCTTAACATTGTGGTGAGCTCACAAGTATTTTCATGCAAAGCCAGGATTTTTCCAGGAAGCAGTTTTGAAACTAATCCAGCCCGTAAATCAGTGCTGTGCTAAGATGCCAACATTTCACGGCTTAAAACAAGGAAAAGATGGTTTTAATCTGAAAACTGTTCAGATCCAGAAACTTTTATTGTAGTTAGGTAAAATGGAAATATTAAATGTATAAATAGCTGTCAGTTTACCTTCACAAAACAACTGAGTAACTCCTCTCTGTTAGATTAACAATGTTGGGTGCTGGGTATAAGAAGATGTCCTATATCACACAAATTCACATGCTAGGCAGGTGCACAGGAAAGTAGAGAACTGCTTCTAATAATCTGTGATAATTACTATTTTAGAGTAGGGTTAAAATACTTCGATGGCACACAGGAAGGTGTCTTGTTAAGTCAGGCTTTGATGGGTAACTACCATTTCACCAGAAAGAGCATGACGTTAGGAAAGGGGATGTAAATTGAGACAGGTGCTGGGGTAAAGGAGGCCTACTCATATTTTTGTAAGGTCCTTCTAAATTTTATTTAATTTCTTTTCTCACTATCACATCAATTGGAAGGCTATCTTATATATAAAATGTGTAAGTCAGATGAATAAAATACACATAGACTAAAAAAAAAATCTCAGCTATTTATTTAACCATTGAAATTTAAAAAAACACTAGTTTCAATTAGAAGACTCAGAAACTCTTTCAAAACGGTTACTAGCAGAAATTACAAAAATAGACGGTGACAAGTGTCATGGGAATTGATAAAGGTAAAAGTCCTTACACACTGGTGGGACTGTAGACTGGTACTGCAATCCTGGTAAACAATTCATCACTATGAACAAAAATAATGATACTGCATACCATGACTCTTCTGGTCAAAACTCTCCAATAATTTCTTCTTTCAGAGAGAAATGATCTTTGCTGGGAATTATAACTTTAAGAAATTCTTTCAATAAGCTGTAGGGTGATGTCTACAGGTACATATTGAAACATTTTTTTGGTGATGGATGGGAACTGGAGGCCACCAGGACATCTACCTGGGAAATGAGTATGTAAAATGGAGCAGCCCCACTATGGATTTTTATGATGATTCAAAGCAAACCACTGGATTTCTGCATCCATAAAGAATGAATGGATCTAAAAACACATGAGGTAGATGTGCAAGAATGAGGTAGACAGCACCATGTCATTTATGTCCACTAACATTCATGCACACAAAGTGAAAAATACATATGATGTAAGAATCCATGTAAGCAAAAACGCAGGAGAGAATGACTTCCTATAGGGGCAAGGAGAACGGAAGTGGGGAAAGGAGATACAGAGGAAGGAAAGAAGGACGGAGGATGGAGGGGGATAAATGAATACCTTTTTCACTCTTGAGAGCACAAAGAAGTCAACTGCTGATCCTTGACTAAATATTAGGTATGTAAATAATTGCCTACTTTTTAAGAAGCTAACAAGAAAAGAGGATGTAGACTTTTCAGTTTACTGTATGTTCAAAATTATTTACAATATGTATGAGAATGAGAAAAAGAAAAATATACATACAGGGTTTTGGTGAGAAGAAGTCTGGACTAGTGAAAAGAAGTTTGACCTAAGCGTCTTACCCTTGAGTTCTACCACGCACTAGCTTGCGACTCTGGGCAGCCACGACCTTCCCTGGACTTCAGATCCTTCAGCCTAAGACTGAAGCTCCTCTGACTAAGACATGCTCATAAGTGTCAGTCAACTTTGGCTTTAAAAGGTCCCAAACCCCCAAATCTAGACTATTCAAAAATGAAGAATGCCACATTAAAAAAGGACAAAAAAAAAAAAAAAAAGAAGGTCCCAAACCCCCAAATCTAGACTATTCAAAAATGAAGAATGCCACATTAAAAAAGGACAAAAAAAAAAGAAAGAGAAAAAAAGCCTCTTAATCATTTAATGTTTGCCTATGGCTTTCACAGTATTTTT